TTAACTCAGTCAAATCTATCTTGATTAAGAAATGGTTGACTATGAGATGATTTTAAGGACAGTGCTTTGCAAATAGTGTTCTCACTTGAAAAGATGTGACTACCATTGCTCCACCATGTTATCCTGTGTTGGTGGGTATATAAGGGTTGTTATTGGGTTCATATGCATCACTTTCTAAATGCAGTGAAATAGGCAGGCTGTGGACAGAGCATATCTCAATGCAGGGGCTAGCTATGTACTTACCYGTTCTTCCCTAAACTCCATGATAAGTCCTTGAGGACAGAAGCAATATCCTTATCTTTCATTTTTCTTTGACACTTTGCAGAGTTTAGGATAAAGAGTAGGTGTTTAATAAAACCAACTTAAAGATTTGGGTTGACTTTCTGTGACTGATGGAGGGAACCAGAGCCCATTTCCTTTAGATTGCTCACCTTGTCCAATTGTCTTTGTAGTGATAAAGTAGTAAAGTGACCAATAAATTGTGAGTGACTTGGGGGATCTATTAAAACTATCTCCTAAGGGAAGTGTTGATTCAATAGTATCAACATCGTGTATTGGAACTAAATTTAAAATTGCACCCCCCCCCGCTCGCCCTGAAAGAATAATTAAAGCACAYAAACCAAATATCTAATTACAAAGATTGTCACGTTCCATAGGATGTGTATGTTAAAGAATAGATTGACGTACGTTAATTCGTTGCTTTCTCTGAAATCTGTATCTATTTACGTAATCCCAAATTGCATTCCTAGAAAATACTTTGTATTTTTAGAGGTAAAGAATTATGGCATTTTCCAGGATGCTTTTATTTAACAGGAGGAAATTCTTTTATAATGAGGATTCAAAAATGTAGAATACATCCCTACTTTCCTGATAGTGATGTATGAAATTAAGATTTGAAAAGAAAACCTTGCTTACAAAGTGGTTTGATCATCCACTGTGTTCTGCAGTAGATGATCAGATCTGTTTGCATCAAATAAGTCTTAATCCTTTGTGGTAAAATAATTAGACAAGTCAGGAAATTACATCTATATAGGATTGAAGTAGAAAATGCTGTCAGGATGACTGGATGGGAATGTTAGGGAAGAAACTGTCCTGCACAGATGGCTGTAGGCGGTAGCTTTTTTATGCGATAACCCARCAGATTGTTGATGAGTCAAGTTGATGAGAAACAATTTGTAGAAAGTGATTGCCCTGACTTCTAGTGGGGAGCCCTGGGGTGGAGTCGATTCGAAACTCTTCTTATTTTCCACGTGGATGTAACTTCTTAGGGCTTCAGTTTACTTATCTGTATAAGAAAAGGTGTAGAGTCAATGATRAGGATCTCATCTGGATGTCAGTACTATGATTCTGTTGTTATTTGTTGTGGCGTTGGGTTTTAAAAATTTGTAATGATATGATTTTAAACATACAAGTTCAGATATTCCCTATTATTTCTATTCTATTTTTCTTTTCTTTTTTTTGGTGGGGGGGCCGGGGTGGGTACCAGGGATTKAACTCAGGGGCACTCAACCACTGAGCCACATCCCCAGCCCTTTTTTGTATTTTATTTAGAGACAGGGTCTCACTGAGTTGCTTAGTGCCTTGCTGCTGCTAAGGCTGGCTTTGAACTCACAATCCTTCTGCCTCAGCTTCCCAAACATCTGGGATTACAGGCGTGTGCTGCACTGTAYGTCTATTTTTCTATAATTGAAAAATTAGAGAAAAYAACATTTAAAAAATATTTTTGTTTAGTTGTAGATGGAGAAATACCTTTATTTATTTATTTATATGTGGTGCTGAGGATCAAATCCAGGGCTCCGTATGTGTTAGGCAAGCGCTCTACCACTGAGCCACAACCTCAGCCTGAGAAAATARTTTTGAAAACAAATAACATTCATTTTAGAAAAAGTTCAGCTGTATTGTTTTAGCATTAAATATCATTCATAAACGCTCATTGTTTTTGTTGATGTCTTGTATATTTTCTAAATTCTTTAAATATGAATAAGTCTGCATGTTAAAAAAAATATCTTGACCCATAAAAATATATTTGAGGTTAGCCACAAAATACAACATGTGGAAATCTTTTCTGTAATATGCAGTATGTAGTATATTATTCTAATTATTTTTTGTGGTTTCTGCATTGTGAAAAATAGTGGTTAAAGACATTGTGGCTTCTTAGAGATTTGGTACAGCATATATCAAGAATTGGCTCAATAAAGAAATGAATGTGCTATATTACTTTGCACATTTGAGGAAACACAATGAAATGTGTAGGCTTGCTTAACTTTAATTAAGTTTTGTTTTTTTTTTTTTTTGGGTGGGGAAGTGAAGCAGAAATAAAGAAAGGTATAGAGGAAACTAACCAATCTTCCTTAGAGAGTAGTTTGCTTTGATCTGTGTATCTTCTATAATCATCACCATACATATATATACTTTAGCAAAGGGAAATCTGAAATCCTCCTTGCTTTTTAAATTTCAGGTGACTTCATTTTAGGTTAGTGGTTGTTGCCTTTAATTAAAAATGAAAACTATGCCTCGAATAAACTACCATGTATATAATAGGTGATTCCATTAAAGAAATATAAAACTGAGATTAAAATAACTGTATGTAGGGGAAAGGAAGAATCTAAGAGCATCATGTAGGCTTAGGATGGATTGGCTGCATGGACATTTTAGAAGTTGTGCCACTGTCTGTGAGACTCCAAGACATGTGTCAACAGTCATGCTGGGTTATGGATGAGTGACACATTTTAAAGTTGAATTTTAGATGCTGAAATTGGTCTTACTTACACCAAAACCCCAACTTGTTTGTTTAATCTCATTTTTTTTTTTTTGCTTTTGCATTCAGAACTAAGTGGAGTCAGCTTCTATTGCTGAGATTTTATTTCAAAGTATAAATAAAGCAGAAAGTCCCTTAATGGAGCTACCTTCTCAAAATTAGTGTGAGCAAACTACATTTTACACATTCATGTTTAGAGAGGCAAGTGATTGATCAAAGTGCTTTTCAAAAATATATCTGGTTCACTAGCAGCCTTATTTGAAAGAATTATCCATGTTTGGTAGTTTTTGAATAGAAAATGAAATTTCTGTTCAGCCAAACAATATTAGACTTTTAAAAAAAWYTTTTTTAGTTATAYATGGACACAATATCTTTGTTTAGTTATTTTTATGTGGTGCTGAGGATCAAACCTAGTACCTCACGTGTGAGAGGCAAGCGCTCTGCCACTGGGCCACAACCCCAGCCCCTAGACTTTTTAAAAAATCCTAATTTGTTATATATGACAGCAGAATGCATTCCAACTCACATTACACATATAGAGCACAATTTTTCATGTCTCTGGATGTACACAAAGTAGAGTCACACCATTCGTGTCTTCATACATGTACTTAGGAAAATGATGTCCCATCTCATTCCACCGTCTTTCCTGCCCCCATGCCCTCTTCCTTTCCCTCCATCCCCTTTGCCCTATCTAAAGTTTTTCCATTCCTCCCATGATTCCCGCTCCCCCCCCCATCCCCATTGTGGATCAGCATCCTCATATCAGAGAAAACATTCAGCATTTGTTTTTTTTTGGGATTGGCTAACTTCACTTAGCATAATATTCTCCAACTCCATCCATTTACCTGTAAGTGCCATGATTTTATTCTCTTTTAATGTTGAGTAATATTCCATTGTGTATATACACCACAGTTTTCTTATCCAATCATCTACTGAAGGTCATGTAGGTTGGTTCCACAATTTTGCTATTTTGAATTGTGCTGCTATAAACATTAGCTATGTCTCTGTTGTACACTGATTTTAAGTCCTTCGGGTATAACCAAGGAGTGAGACAGGTGGGTCGAATGGTGGTTTCCTTCCAAGTTTTCCAAGGAATCTTCATACTGCACCAATTTGCAGTACCAATTTGCAGAACACATGAATGTGCCTTTCCCCCCCATATCTTCACCAAAAGTTGTTGGTTGTTTGTATTCTTAATAGCTGCCATTCTGACTGGAGTAAGATAAAATCTTAGAGAAGTTTTGATTTGCATTTCTCTAATTGCTAGATATGTTGGATTAGGCCCCAACTTCCTTAATAAGACTCCTATAGCACAAGAAATAAAATCAAGAATCAATAAATGGGATGGATTCAAACTAAAAAGCTTCTTCTCAGCAAAAGACACCATCGGTGAGGTGAATAGAGAGCCTACAGAATGGGAGCAAATTTTTACCACACTCATGGGAGCAAATTTTACATGCACATCAGAGTACTAATCTCCAGGATATATAAAGAACTCAAAAATATCATGATTTGATGAGAAGCTATTGAAAACTCAAAAAACCAAATAACTCAATCAATAAATGGGCCAAGGAACTGAACAGATACTTAGGAGAAGAGGACATACAATCAAGCAACAAATATACAATATTAGACTTTTGATAGATATTTCTCCCTTCTCCTCTTCCTCCTCTTTAAATAATTTAAAGTTTGTATTAAAGCTCTCAATGTTATCATCTTTTCTACATGCACCATGTTAATTTGTCAATCTAATATCACAGTGACACATTAAAGTCACTAATAAATGTCTAGGAGTAATTCCCAAAGCAGGGACACCTGAGGGCAGTAGTTTGTGCAATTATAATTAGGACAGATAATTGGGGGCCTGAGTCTAAGCTAAGTGTCACCCCTTCCCTTGTTAATAGCAGAGATTGCCTATGCATACCTCATGTGGCCTGCTGATAGGAGGCTGGGATTGTTAYTCAATCTCACATACAGTTTGATTTGTTATTACTGTGAGAGGGGTTGTCTTTCATTGTCTCTAGGTATCTGGCATGAAAAGCTCATCACCAGTCCTCAGAAACATGTGGGCTTCACAGTCAATGGAAATAGCTTTGTGGTGATGTTTTTGTTGTTGGTGTTCTTAACCCGCAGTCCTTATGTAAGTGTGGGTTAATGAAGAAAATAATATCCGTTTTTTACAGTACACGTGCCTATGCTAAGAAAGAAACTTATCGGTTTGTGTTTCTGTTTTTATTTGTAGATATAATACTTTGCCCAGCAGAAGAACTCTGAAGAATTCAAGATTAGTGAGTAAGAAAGATGACGTTCATGTCTGCATCATGTGTTTACGTGCCATCATGAATTACCAGGTATGCTTGTGCTTCTGGGCCCCGAAAGAAGTCGGAATTCATCAGACTTGGGTCTTGTTCTCTTTGGCTTCTCTGTGTTCTTTCTATCTGAAGTAAATATCATGATTTGATGAGAAGCTATTAAAAAAGAAAGGTCTGKTTCATTCTAATGCTCCAGATTTAACTTATTGCTGTGATATTTTAATTAGTATTTATAATTTGTATTTTTTTTCCTCTTTTTTTTGGTACCAGGGATTGAACCTAGGGACATTTAACCACGGAGTCACATCCCCAGCTCCTTTTATATTTTAATTAGAGACAGGGTTTCATTAAGTTGCGTAGAGCCTCTAAGTTGCTGAGGCTGGCTTTGAACTCACAATCCTTCCTGCCTCAGCCTTCTGAGCTTCTGGGATTACAGGTGTGTGCCACTGAGCCTGGACTATAATTTGTAGTTATTTAAAGGAAAGGTGATTTTCTTCTACAGTGGCCGAGTTGCCTAGATGACTTGGTAAATGCTGTAAGCAYGGAACAGAGAGTAAACCACTGGCTGTAGACAATAATGGAAGAGCACCTCCCACATTGAGTGGGTCAGTGTTTCCCAAAGGCTGGAGTTGGACTTAGTGGTTTCTAATCTTTATACGAAGCACCTGGTGGATCCTTGTTAAAAGTGAAGATTCCCCTTCAGGTGGTAGTGAAACAGGTTGAGGCTGCTTAGAAGCAGTGCAGCCTGTGGTTTGGGTTAATCCTAWCAGTAAGAGGAAGTTAGAGCCTGGAGAACCCGAGGTGAACTGAYAGGGTTACATGTATAGATAAGCAAACCAAGGGTATGCATTAGAAACAGTAGGGTTCWAATATAAAGAGAAATTTTATTTGTATTGATATGGATGCCACAGGTAAGTTCAATTAGAAATAGAAAAAAAATACACAACTAGAGGATCCATGTTAGTGTTCAAACCCAACATAAGGTTGCTGAATTGAATTTAAGAAGGGAAACATTCATTTGTTCCTTCTCTAAATCAGTAGATATCTTTTACACACACACAGACACACACACACACACATTCTCATTAATTATTCAGGACAGTAAAATGCATTTTGATGCATCATACATAAATGGAGTATAACTTCTCATTTGTCTGGTTGTACATAATGTAGAGTTACACAGGTCATGTAATCATATATGCACATAGGGCAATAATGTCCATTTCATTCTACAATTATCCCTATCCCCATGTCCCTTCCTTTCCCTTCAGTCCCCTCTGTCTCATCCAAATTATCAATGCTCCCCTCCCCCTTTATTGTGAATTAGCATCCGCATATAGAGAAAACATTCCGTCTTTGGTTCTTTGGAATTGGCCTATTTCACTTAGCATAATATTCTCTAGTTCCATCTATTTACTGGCAAATGTCATAATACTATTCTTCTTTAAAGCTGAGTAATATTCCATTGTGTATATATACCACATTTTCTTTGTCATTTATCTATTGAAGGCCATCTAGATTGGTTCCATAGTTGAGCTATTATGAATTGTGCTGCTATAAACATTAATRTAGCTGTATCACTGTAGTATGCTGACTTTAAGTTCTTGGGGTATAAACTTAGGAGTGGGATGCCTACATCAAATGGTGGTTCCATTTCAAGTTTGATAGCTTTTGTATTTTGTCAGACAGAGCCTCTGTTCTAGTCACTGAGAATACAGCATTAAGTGAATTAGTGGCCCAGGGAACTAACTTTTAAGAGAGAGTGAGCAGATAACAAAATAAATTGATAAATTATTTGGTGTTTCATATAATAATGATGATAAAGTGAAATGAAGGCTGAATCATGGTTTTACAAAGGTAGGCTTTTAAACTTATGAACCCAAGTAAATCTCAAAGCACCCTTATCATTGATACTATCATTGATAGTGTTATTCTCCCCATTTTASTTACAAGGAAACTGAAACACAGAAGTAATTTTCCCAAAATCATATAGCAAATAAGTGGCAAGGTCAGCCTTTGAACCCAGAGAACCATTACTAAGCATTGCAAAAAACAATCAGGAAATAGGAAGTGCTTAAGATGTATAGGCATGTTTAAATAAGCTAGCTAGGAAAGTGTCACTGAGGAGATAACATTTAATCAGAACTTGAATTAGGCAACAAAGGGAAGGTTAGAATAAATCTGGTTTTCCCAAGGCGCAGAATGGAGACCAGGTTTGCTGGATCAGAATGAGGAAGGAGAAGAGTAGAAGGTAAAGACAGAAGTAACAGAGAACTGCTTATGTAGGACTTCATAGGTCAGGGAAAGGACACTGGTCTTGTTGAAAGGGAAAAGCTAGTAAATATGATGCTTRCATTTAATATGATGAGTTTGGCTGCTGTGCTTAGAATTGACCTTGGAGGGCAAAGGCAAGAGGGGGTGTAAACCATTTAGGAGGCTATTGGCAGTAATTTTGGTGAGCATTGATGGTGTATGACTCAGGATTCTAGGAGCAGAGTTGAGAGACATGGTCAGATTCTGGTTTTATTTTGATGGTAAAGGCAGTRGCATTAAGTATGTGGTGAGAGAGTAGGCGAGGAGAGGAGGTGGTACCAAGGCGTTCATCCTGGGTACCTATAAGATTGGGTTGTCATTCACTAAGAAGGAGAAGGCTACAGGATGATAAAATTGGAGGAAGATCATTTGGAGTTCTATTTGGTAGATTTTAACTTTGGGATATGCATTAGACCTCCAAATAGTGATTTAAGTGTAGTTGAGTATGTTAGTCTAGATTCCAAGACAGAGGTCTGGGCTGAAGTTATAAATTTTTTWAAAAAAAWTTTTTTAAAAATTTGTCAATGGATTTTTAAATTTTATTTATTTATATGTGGTGCTAAGAATCATACCCARTGCCTSGCACATGCTAGGCAAGTGCTCCTCTACTGAGCCACAAATTTGAGACTAGTTAGCACATAGAGCATTTAGGAAACTAGGAGTATGAATGAAATCTATGGGGCCAACAGAGAAGTAAAGAGGTCCAAAGTATGAACCGTGGGACACTCCATTTAAATGTTTAAGAGATGAGGAAAAACTAGTTCACCAAAGAAGTAGCCAGGAAGGTAGAGCTATCTGAAGGCCATGTTTCAAGGAGAAGGGAATGCTCCACTTTGTCTAATGCTCCCAAGCTGAGTGTGGTGGCTCATGTCTATAATACAGTGACTTGGGAGGGTGAGGCAGGAGAATCTCAAGTTCCAGGCCAGCCTAGCAACTTGGTGAAATTCTGTTTACCAATTAAAAAACAAAAGAGACTGGGACTGGGGATATAGCTCAGTGGTAGAATGCTTGCCTAGCATGTGCCAGGTTCCGGGTTTGGTATCCCTATTACTGAAAGAAGAAAAATGTTGCTGCTGAATCATGTAAGATGAGTGAGGCCATTGACTAACAAAATGTTGGTCATTGGTGATATTGGCAAGAATAGATTCAGAGGTATGTTGGTTAGCTTTTCATCACTGTGACCAAACGACCAGACAAGAACAACTTAGAGGGTAGAAAAGTTTATTTTGGGCTCATGGTTTAATAGATTCAGTTCATGATTGGCCAACTCCACTGCTCTGGGCTTGAGGTGAGACAGAACATCTGGTGGAAGGATGTGACACAGGAAGGCTGCTCAGCTCATGGCAGCTAGGAAGCCAAGAGAGCACAAGGAGCCACGAACAAGTACATCATCCCCAAGGACACCCCCCTCCCTCCAGTGACCTTCTTCCTCGAGCCAAGTCCCATGTCTACACTTACACAGTAATCCATTCAAATTACTAATMCGACAAATAGATGAATCCATGATTGTGTTGCAACTGCCATATTCTCATTGTTTTGCTTAACATTCCTGTATAGTCTACTGTGAACCACCTCACATCCAAACTCTAACAAGTGGGCTGTGGAGTAAAATGCCTGGTGGGAGTGGATTCAACAGCAAATGAGAGGAATCAGAGATCCTGAGTATTTGGGGGGAATTTTGTTGTAAGGATAACAGAAATGAGAGGAGGTAGCTAGACTCATTGTGGTATCAAAGAGGGTTTTGTTGCAGTCGTTTTAAGATAAGAGCATTTTTCATGATGTTTTTATGTTCATGATMATGAAGTAGTAGACAGGGAAAGGTGATGGTGAGTGGAAGAATTTCTGTAGCATATATTTTTGAGGAGGTGAGAGGGAATGAAATCAAGGACTTAAGTGCAGGGATTAGCCTCAAATGGAAGCATGGAAGAGTTCATTTGTGGGAAGAGGTGAGGAGGTTAACCATAGATCTTTGTGTGTGGGTGATATGGTTGGAGCTTTTGGAAGGATTTTCTGATTGCATACATTTTTCTCAGTGTAAGAGGAAATAGTTCATAAGCTAACAGTAAATTTAGGAGAGAGAAGGTAATTCCTCAATTTAGTAGAATCAAATTTCTTAAACTTTTTCTTTGTGTAGAAGGGTGATATAACATACCTCAGAGAAAGACAGGTTTTTCTAGGCCCTTGGTTCTGGGAGCCATTGCCCAGAGAAGGGACTTGATGGAGCRATTCCTAACTGCTGAGTGAAGTTACCTGGAAGCTTAAAAATTTTCAGATTCCAGGGCTCTGTTGTTGAGATTCAGACCAAATTAACCTGGGTGGATCTTGGGGAATCAATCAGTGCTTTGTTTTGTCTTTCAAATGATTGAATGAGCAGGCTGAGTTGAGAATCCCTTGGATAGGGCTTTTTTACTAATTTTTTGAGGGTGGGGGGGGGCACTGGGGATTGAACTCAGGAGACTTGGTCACTGAGCCACATCCCCAGCCCTTTTTTGTATTTTATTTAGAGACAGGGTCTCACTGAGTTGCTTAGTCCTCGCTTTTGTTAAGGCTGGCTTTGAACTTGTGATCCTCCCATCTCGGCCTCCCTAGCCACTGGGATTACAGGCCATGTGCCACTGTGCCTGGCCTTTTCATTATTTTAATAAAGAAAAATGTGTAACTTATGTATATATAGGAAGATAAGCCTTTGATGATGGCATCCCTGATATTTTCAATACAGAAATATGTTTTGACAATAATGTGCATTTATGATGACCTCATTTATGATAGTGTATCATTGTTACACGAGATAGAACTTTCAGATTTTTTGTTTTTAACTAATATTGACTATCACCTAACCTATTTCCTAATGCTTTTTTGTTTTTTTTCTCCCACATTTCAGTATGGTTTCAACATGGTCATGTCTCATCCACATGCTGTTAATGAGATTGCACTAAGCTTGAACAACAAGAATCCCAGGTGAGCTTCCTTTGTACTGTAAGTCTAAATCTAACTAGAGCTAGTTAACACTTAACAAAAGTTAAAATTTAAAAAAAAAGTTAAAAGTTAAAAGTTAAAATCTCAGGTGTGGTTTGCTGAAACTTCCCCTGAATAAATCTACAACTTAGTGATTTCTTACTTTCTTTATTAAAATCCTAACTAGTCATATTAAAATCCTAACTAGCCTTCCACTATAGAAAAGTTATTATTCATTTTTCTTAAGACAGTTGATACTGTGGAATATCAGAAAAGTCTTTGTTAAGAGGTTGGCAATAGTTTTTATTCCAGAACAAAGATGAAATATTTAAGTGATCTTACGGTGAAGAAACAATGCCATTTCTTTTTCAACACTGTATTTACAAACTTAGAATGATCTCTAGATTCTCCTTTCAAAAATATTTCAGATGGAGTTTTATTTTCTTGAGTCAGAGAAAATATTTTTGCACTAGTACAGCTGTAATCCAACTCCTCCCAGATCTCCTGCATATGAAGAAGTGATAGAAACTTGTGTGGTCACATGGGATTTTAATGGATCTATCTGCATGTGAGCAGATTTGAAGTGTAAAACATAAATTTGAGTTGATTTTGAGCTTTCTTATATTATGCCTCTGACTCTAAAACCAGGAAGAATATTCAGTTGGTACTTTTTTGTGTGTGTATTCTCATGTTTCCTATTGTTTTTAGCTCATCAGTAAAATTTTTTCAGCTCTGTTGCTCTGAGTCACTTGATAATTTGACTAAAAGAATTAGTGAAATTTCATTAATAAGTGAAATTCGTAAATTTTGGGTGTAGGAAGCTTGCCTTCCACATTTGCTGTTTTAGACAAAGCACATATCGAAAAGTCGGTAAAGTTTTCAAAAAGTGATTTAGTATAACTATGGAACAGAATAAAGGTTTAAAAAAGCACAAGAGAAAATGATGATTATTCTCATATTCATCTTGRAGGCAGGAGTAGCTGAATCACCATGTCATTTTCACCAATCTGTGTTTTTCTTTTTTCTTCTTGTTTTGACAGAACAAAAGCCCTTGTCTTAGAACTGTTGGCAGCCGTTTGTCTTGTCAGAGGAGGGCACGAAATAATTTTATCAGCTTTTGATAACTTCAAGGAGGTAGGATGCACTACAGTTTAATAAGCCTGCTCACTCAAAGAGCTCATATTGGGATATCCTCAAGCAAGAATGACTTTACCTCTTCATTTGTTCTAGGATCCAAAGAGTGTAATCGCTGATTTTCTAATATATCACCGAGAGGAAAGGCGTGAAGCTAGCCTATACATCTTAAATTTGGGTGTTTTGTTTCTACCATAATTTAATGATATTTGCAGTACAATATTTTCATTTGAGGAATATGAAATGGCCAGTTTGAAAACAGATTTTGTTACATGCATATGGTTTTCCTTAGGGTTGAAAATATGTAGATAATATCCTATAAATTTTATGAACTTTTTCATCAGAGTTGCTTCTCCCAAATAGTATTTTATTATAATTGCTTTGTTGGATGCTGTGAAAAACCTGTCAAATAAATATAGACACTTAGTTCAGGAGTTTGTGATTTTACTGATTAAGTGGTCCTGTCACAAAACTATAAAGTAGTGGACATGCATGGTTGAATGTGAAGACTGAGTTCAAAAAAAGAAACCATTACACATTGATAATATGACACCAAGAATTCTGCCCCAAAGTATCAAGACATCTCAGCTGCGATAATACCAGTCTCCCTTAGGGGTAGTGGACAGTTACATGACCTAGAAGAATATGTAGGCGTATTCCTCAGTATATGCCTACATTCAATGCAAATTTGAGGAAAAAGATGTCAAGGATAGCCCTGGAGAATATTGACGGCACTTGGAGCCCAGGTTATAGGAGGACCCTCAGATTCGTGACTTACCCTGGCAGTCCCATTTAATTCCAGGTGTTGCTGGATTAAGACTTAAGTTGTGTTATAGTCCAGATGGCACAGCGACTTCCACCCTTCCTGTTGTCTTTGCTGCAAGCCTCTGGAGGAGGAGAGCATGAATAGTGTTTGTTGAGCACCGACTCTATTCCAGGGCTGCACCAGCTCCACACAGGAAATTATCTGGTTCTATATTAGMATCTTTGGAACAACTGTTAATATTTCCTTTATATAAAAGAATAAACTAAAATTCAAATCGAGGGTTTCCTGTGGTCACAAAAAGCCAGGCTTAGGGTTTGGTGTTCCTGATCCTAGAGACTTCCATGAAACCATGCTGAAGTGTGGGCCCAGTTGTGTGTGAACTTCTCAGAGAAATAAGAGAAATACTGAGTTAGCACCAGAGAGCCAACCTCCCTACCTTCACCTCCCTAATTGGACTCACCACCCCAGCTGCCATATGTACTGGAGAGTGGTTCTATGATGCTCCACATGGGGTGGGGAGCTTCCAACATGTGGGCTGGACAAACAGTCCTCTTGTCTCTTATTTATGTCACCTTTCTTCTTCCAGTTGGTGCTTAGATTTTGACATTATCCACTTTGTTACTGCTGACTATGGAGAGAATCAAAGAGTTTGTTTATTTGTTTTCTTTTAATTTATTTGGCCCTAGTGATAGTGAAAAAATACTCAGGTTCTAAGACAATGATGAAGAATAAGAGTGAATCTTTAAATTCATATTCCGCTTTCAAAACAAGTGATTTTTGTAAACAAGAAAAGCCTTTCTCTGAATGTTTTAATAATACATCATATGTAAATATATAAATTTTACATTTATAAATAAGGAGGTATGTTTGTATGTTTGGGTGGATGGTTTTTCAAGGAAAAATAAATAGCATATACTGCTAGTATAACTTATAAAAATTTATGATTAGATCATATTTGGAAATATCACATTCTACACTGAAAGCATTTACAATGCAGATATCAGTGACCCTTGTTATAACTAGTGTTTTGACTGTCATCTGATTATACTRCTGGTCAAATTATATCCTAAAGATTTAATTGTATAGAATCAGAATCAAAGCTAGTAACTTATGAGATTAATGTTGGTTTTTGCTTTCTTTTTGCTGAAATAGAATCTCTTTGTTATGCATAGCAGGCATACAAACTTTTGCACAATTGAGTTTTAACTGTCTGGTGTCAGAATTGCCCATGGTTTAGCCATTTAGAGCATCATATGTACTTAGTTGAAGAAAAACGTAGTCCTGCTAAATCAAGAGCTGTCTAGTTGTCATCCAAATTAGTTTTAAGTTTGAGCTTTTAGAGTTTTAATCAAAACCTGCTTCATTTCTGTAATTACTTAAGAGGGAAGGTGCTATTTACATTCTTTTTGTCCTTGGCATTTGCCATGTGGGAGAAAGGTCAAGGCCAGAGCTATGTGCTCTGGTCCTGCATTTATCTCTAGCTGTAGCCTTTTGTAGACAGCCCAAGCCCAAGGATTATCCTGATTGCCATGTGAACAGGGACAAGGCAGGAACATGCCCCTGGGAAACTTTGTTCTTAGGTTGATGCTCTTTTGACCTATTCCAATTTATCCTATCTTGGAGTGGAAAAAGCGTTACTTTGCTATGATCTTGTTTTTAAAAAATGTAATGGCATTCACAGCTCAGTCTTTTACTTCCCTCTCTTTTTTTCCTTCCCACTTTATGTGAGTTGATTTTTTAAAAAATATATAATTCACAGGGAAGGGTGTGTTCTTTAATGCTTTCAGCCAAAATGTCACTGGAATCTTTGGGCTCCAAGGAGCCTCGCAGCCTATCCTTGTATATATTCTTGAATACAAGGATATGCTACTGTGCAGATAGGGTTTTGGTGAGTGAGTAAGACTGACAGATAGGGTTTTTGTCAGTGAGAAGCCACCTGTGGCAGAGAGTACCAGATCAGGTAGAGGATACTGGGCATAGGACCAAAGGACCATTGGCCTTCATGAAGATTGTTTTTAAAGCTTTTAACTCTTTCTAGGAGAAGGAAGAAGAGGTTATCCCTGTTTCTGCAGGGAGTAGAGCAGGGGATTTCAGCATCTGCTTTTTGTAGTTAGACCCTCTGGGTTTTGACTACTGTTAGAACTCAGGCGAGCAGACCGCCTTCATGTAGAACTAGATATAGAGAGAAGTTTAGAGACCACTCATTTTAAGTACTTAGGAATTTTATTCCCTCCCCCTCCAGAGCCAGCAAATCCATCAGGTATCTTTTGGCTCTTAATACATTTTTATATATGATTACATTGTTTTCTCATGTTTTGGTTAATATTGAAGATCCCAGCAAATTTGTTTTCTATTTTGTTTTCCCCCAAAGAATCTTGTTGAGTCGTGCAATATGTGAAGTACATGTTTCAGGAAAAGTGATGGCCCCCTTATTTAATGGTATCTGATGGTGGAAAGAATGTTAGCCCAAGGCCTTGCTTATTATAAGCTGGGGAGCAAGCACATATGCTGCTTCCATGTATGTGATGATAAATGAGTTTTAGTTGCATAAATTCAGTCAGTAAACTTATAGTTTGTGTGGGTTGTGGCATGCATCAAAACATCAGTATATTGAGTTGATGAAGTCTAGATCATTAACAGTCAACCGCTGTGTTCCTTGAATTCTTTTCTTGTAAGAAAATTTAAATAAGGGGAATTAACACATCTGGTTTTGGTGTCGAAACATCTTCTTATGAAAATTTATGGTCCTGAAAGGAGGACCAGGGTGAGAACAAGAAACCATCTGTTTTTCTGTATTGGATAATTTAGCCATGTGGAAGGACATACAGCCATCTTCCCTAAGTTTTTTCTTTCTCTTCTTTCCTTTTTGCATGGTGTGTGTGTGTGTGTGTGTGTGTGTGTGTGTGTGTGTGTGTGTCTAAAATGCAGAAGAGTGAGTGAAAGAGAGGGAGAGAGAGGGAATGGAGTCTACTCACTCTACTTCACTCAGGTATCTAGTTTTGAGTCTGATGCCTCCCATATTCAGCGAGGGGTTGCTTTTGGAAATACGTGTGGTTATTTTGGTATTTGAATTGATTCAGGGTCCTGTTTGCCAGGAGCAGAAACATAGTCTAACAGATAGGAAAAGGTAGATTAGAAGGATGTTGAGAAATGCACAGATTGACTAGGAGCCTAGAGAACGAGGATGGGAGAGTGGATGGGCGTTCCTAAACTATGGCGGGACTCTGTGGCTGTGCCCTTGAGGCTGAGCCCCCATAAACACTGTTGACGGTTCTGCTCGTGCCTTTTCTTCTTTCCCCAGCAACAGGGACCACAGGTAGCAATGCACTGGGTCATTAAACTGCACCTTTTGGTGAAAGAAGTCAACCAGTACCCACTTCAGATTTATAAACACTATATTTAATCCAGTTTCTCATAGGAATGTTGAAGTCTTCGATCTAGATCATCTTCTCCTCAAATTTTTCATATCTTGTTTCTTGATTGTTTTTTCCCTTATATTCTTTGATATATTTGAGAAATTGCCTTACTTTAAAAAGTATCCCCAAAAGTCTGGGGATATGTTTATATGTTTATATTTGAAATCAAAGAGGAAAATTACTGAGGCCCCATAGACTGCGGTGGAATAGCCTTCTGTGACATGAATGACAAAACCCTCTGAGGATTTGGAGCCACTAGCTCTCCCAGGCTGCTGGGAGGTACACCTGGAATTCATCAGGATTCCAGACTAATGATAACTGTGTTCTCATCTGCTTCCAGAATGCAGCATCTGGCTTGAGCAAAATAGCTTGAGTTTGTATTTTAAAGGCCCCACAGCCTCCCACTTCTGACCTTCTAGTATAGATACTTGGAGTCTTGTGAAACGAGTCTCTCAAGGCCACCACCTCTCTTGTACACAACCCTCTTGGCAGTTGCTGCTCTTTTTTTTTCACTTGGTGCTAGAAGGCTTCCTAAGAAACCCAATGTGGTTTAGCTCCTGGGTATCTGAAAGCACTCATGCTACACATTATTTAGTTGACTTTAGAAGGTCTGTCAAGTTTTATTTACAGTGCTCCAAACTGGACAGGAAGAAGAACAGACATTCTGGTATTCTTCCAGGACCCTTTTGAATTTAATCCCATCTAATCTAACCTCTTGGACATATGAGGACATAGGATATGAATCCCAAAGTCATTGAAAAAAATCTAAAAGTGGTAAAATCTTAGATGTGGAAGGAAGAGTACTTACTGTTTGGTTC